TCTCTCTCATCTCTCTCATCTCTCTCATCTCTTTCTCATCTCTCTCATCTCTCTCTCCTCTCTCTCTCTCTCTCCTCTCTGTCTCTCGTCTTTCCGTCTCTCTTCTCTCTCTTCTCTCGCAGGAGGATCCGGGCAAAGAGCCACATATAAAGGACTCTTCACCCCTGCCTCCAAAAAGAGCGCCGTGTTTTTTCCTACCTCGCTGCCCTCCACTTTCCCATTCTGGAGCGCTAGCTTTCGCCCCCCCCCCCCTTGGCCTCAAGTCTACAACCAAGGGTGACCGTTGCTCGACAGAATGCAATAGTTGTTATATATTCCATGATCATTGGAGTTTTTTTATTTTTAAACCAAAGGTTGCATGGCAAAAGGACATGATTTGATGGGAGAGGACATGATCAAATCATCGTTGGGGCCATCTTTAAACACTCTTAGTCGTTGGAATTTCCATTCCCTCCACCCGCCCTACGTGCAGAGGGTACCAAAGCAAAGACACCAGTGAAATGGTAAAGCAATATAAAGTGTCTGGAACCTAGGTTTTTGGCAATTTTTTGCACCAGGTCAGGCTATTACTGTACCGTTTTGTCCCAAACAGCACAATGACTTTACAGTAATGGCTGGTGACCTGGTGGTGAGGCTTTCCATTCCACTGCCCTATGAATGGTGAGGCGTTCTTTATTCTTCCCATCTCCCCCTCCATCCGGGCCCTATTTTTCCCCGGTCGCTTCCTGCGCCAGTGCCACTCTGAGGCTTGCCCAGGCTGCTGAGCCCAGGCTGCAGAGGCCATGCAGGTAGGGACCACCTCGGCCGGAATACAACGACGTTGGTCGCAAAGAAGCCAAGCGAATGATTTGGGTGTTTTGCAGCACGGGGTTGAAGACTTCGTCGAAGAGGAATATATTTTTTTGAGTTGGGGGGAGTGGTTCTTTCAGTGATAGGGACATATGTCATCAATGCGTTGAAGACGGTTTTTTGCGACGGTTGAAGATGCCGCTGATGAGCAGTCATGGTGCTGTCAGCTGTTAGGCTTGGCCATGGCCCGCCACTGGCAGGCGGACCCGTCGCGAGGTTCGTTCGGAACGGCACCGTATCGATGGCATCGATGTAATTATCAGCCATTTCTGGAAGGGTCAATGCCGATCTGGGCATTCGAGACTGTCAATGGTCGATTTTGAAAGAGTGTTTCTTTTGCCACGAGTTTTTGAGGCGAGACTGTCCATTGGTCTATCTATTCGTGATCATTCACGGGCTTTCTGCAGGTTAGACCGCCTGCAGGCGCGGCACTCGAGACTCTCAGATGAGCATGTTGATACGTTGGATGATGAGAAGAAAAGACCAAATTACCAAACCAACAGCTCCGGCGAATTGACATGCTGCCCCCTATTTTTTAAGAAGGGGGTTCTTGTGGCGGAATGCTGCCACGCACATCCAGCACATCCACAAGCAACTGTACATGTTTCGCATGTTGTTGTCACATCCTCAGACCGATGCCCCCCAAAAGACTACCCAGGTGGCGTGGCCCCACTGCAACGTTTTGGCCTTCGCTTTTTCAGCAAGGCTGAGGGCCTGAAAGGAGAGATGCATGATGATGCATGCGTTGCAAGAGGATCAAGAAGAGTCTAACTACCAGTGTTTGTTTTGGTTGACTCGACCCATATCGAAATCCTATGCCGCGCGAGATAAGTCATATGGGTTTTGAACCAACCTTTTTGTTGATGCAACATTATGCAACCATCCATTTTGGTTGGCACCATGGTGGTGGAACACCCATGATAAACGGTATGTAATCCTAATGTATCATAATTGGTAATACAAAGTTCCTTCGTACTACGTACACGGGTCAACATCCCAACACTTTTCCTGTGGTCGATGGTTCTTCTAAAAGGCATGGCTGTTCACCTCCGTTCATTCATACCCTGCTATGATGGCACAAGACTTGAGGAACCCTTGCAAGGGTCACTTGCAGAACCCAGTGTGAGGTGACTTAAGGTAAACGGCTGAGAGGCATTTTCTTGAAAGGAGTCGTCACGCGTCACCGGGACATGTACCTGGGACACACTTCGGTTTGGGATACCTTGAATCCACCCATTCGCGGGACTCGTGTGGCCACCGATTCGCGGGACTCCGTGTGGCCGAGCGACCTGGGACACACGTCGTGTGCGTTGGTCGTGACCCGTGGAGTCGACAGGTGGACGTTCCCACTCCAGAGCTGGGTGGTGAAAGCATCACCGAAGGCACCATCGCAGAGTGGACGGCCAAGGTGCGCGGAGTAGGCTCCGGTGCGCCAGGGGTCGGGGAATTGCCGGGCCTTTCAGCCTTGGTACTAGCCAAAGCAACCAGGTAACCAACACGAACCAAAAGTCCACCCTGGATGGTCCATAGCTTGGGACTTGATGGTTTCATGAGTGACTTTGGTGTGTATGTGATTGTATATTATGTATACATTATATGTGCGTATACATATATTGATACAGACATATGTATATATATACACATTGTGCAACTCTCTAAATAGTTACACGAACACCGAACTATATACACACTGAGTTCACCCTGCTTGCCAAGCAGACTGCCAAGCAGACGGGTCGTCCACGGCCATCGTCCTTTCGTCATGTTCGCGTCTTTCAGGTGGGCGAGAATGTGAAGAAGGACCAGGTCATCGCCACCATTGAAACAGATAAGGTGCTTGATAGGGGTCACGTGTTTCGTGGAACGACGTGTTTTGAGTTGGAACCCGTTCTTTTGAATCAACATGTTTCTGCAAGTCCCATCCAAAGATAGATGGGATTGACGTGATTGTTCAAGATGTTTCGAGAATATTCAACCATATTCAGCCATTGGTTGTTGTTCC